AAATGGAAAGGAGCAGGGCATACTGAGGAGCAGAGCGAAGTCCTGGGAGGCTGGAGGGGACAGAGAGCCGGGAAGGCAGCGGGAGCAGGCTTGTCAGCTAGGTTGGGCCATGTGACAGGCTTTACTCTTTATTCTGAGTGCAAGAAGCCATGAAGAGTTGTAAGCAGGGAAGGGGGTTGCTTTTTGGAAAAGTATTCTGATTTCTGTTTGAAGAATGGATTGGAGGAGGAGGTGAGGCTACCAGTTAGGGGGCTGTGACAATGGTCCACAGAGATGGTGGCACGGGGTGGTGGGGGGCAGGGAAGGAGGGAAGGACGTGGGAATACTGAAGAGAGAAATGTTAGGAGCTAGAACAGGTGGTTCCTGATGGGTTGGATGAAGGTTTTAAGGAAGAGGGAGACATCAGGGATGAATCTGGGGTTCTGGCTGGGACCATGGGTTAGATGATAAAGCAGGTCTCAGCAATAATAATTTGTAAATCTTTCCATTTGATCTTCTTTGTTGCCGGCACTGTGCTGGGCCCTGGGGCTGCAGGCCGGGAGGATGAGCTCACGATCGAAGGGGTGCCGGGCGGGGGGCGGAACTGACATTAATGGGGGCACGTGTGAGCGTGGGAGAGACTGTACGGTGGTACAGCAAGGGAAAGCTCATTCGGGGAGATGCCACCAGGACCCTCATTCGGGGCCTGAGCAGGCGGATCCGCCAAGGACAGACAGGGCAAAGCGGGTGAAAGGGGGCAGTCCAGGCAGCAGGAACAAAGCAACAAAGCACTGGGGGTGCACAAAACAGCACGGGCTGGCCAGAGGGCAACGCACGGAGGGTGAGTGTGCAGCGCTCGCTGCCCCTCTCCCTGCCTTCATCCGGGGCTGCCATGAGGGTCCGGTGGGTTGCCGTAAGGTGTATGTGAGCATCTGTGAGAAGCTGTTACTGCACTTAATGGGAACGGACGTCACCGTCTGATGCACTCTACAAATGTCAAGAATTGTGATTTCACATCCCTGCCCAACAGGATCATCTGATCCTCTGTTGTTACGGTTCCTGAATTTTGTATTGTTCTCCCCATTTTATATGCGGGGAAACTGAGGTCTATCATGGTTGAGTAATTGCCCGCGATCTTGCAGGCGATACGCAGCACAGAAGCCAAGATAAACTCAACAGGTTATTCTCGTTTACGAGAGGGTTCGCAGGCTGGGAGGCTGAGGCTCCTGTGATATGTGCTGGTCCGAGAAGGTCTGCAGCTGGCTCGGGGCTGCAGATGTGGTTGTGCAGGTAGGCCGTGCCCAAGGACAGCTGGCCCGTGGGCTGAGCGGAGCTGAAGGCAGCCCGTCTCCACTCGCCAACCGGCTTCCACCCAGAGGGCTCGGCTTCGTCTGACTCACACAGAAGGCACTGTGCGTCCGGCTTCTGCCTGCCTTCCCGGGAATGGAGGGGCATTTTTACAGATGGGGACACTGGCAGGGCACCGTGGAACCAAGTGATGGCCAGTCAGGGTCAGTGTGAGTTTCGAGTTGCCCTCGAGGGTGGTTCTGTTCATAGGAAAACCAGCTGAGGCTGCTTTTGTTTTTGTTTTTGTTTTTTTAATTATTTTTTTAAAGATTTTATTTTAAGTAATCTCTACACCCAGTGTGGGGCTCGAACTCACAACCCTGAGATGGAGAGTCGCACACTCCACCGACTGAGGTAGCGAGGCGCCCCAAAGCTGCTTTGGTTTTAAAAATGAATGCTTAATTTATAAAAGTAACACTTCAGGGGCGCCTGGGTGGCTCAGTCGTTAAGCGTCTGCCTTCGGCTCAGGTCATGATCCCAGGGTCCTGGGATCGAGTCCCACATCGGGCTCCCT